CCGGTGGTGCATCGAGTTAAAAGCACAGCACTAAGAAGCTAAAGCCGCTTGAGCATGAGTTTGTTCCCCACACAGAGGTGATCCACATGGCGCGGCAGACCTCTCCTGAGCCACGGGCTGCTCCCCTCAGCAGTGTACTTCCTCAGTCGGCCTGTTCTGCTCCCCACTCTGTCCCTGGTGGACTCTCTTGCCACTCCTGCACCTCAAGCCTGTACCCCAGTTCTGTATACATAAATAAATAAATTTTAAAAATCTAAAATAGAGCTTGAAATTTTGTGTGACAAATTTTTAATCACCTTGCTAAATATCATTCAAAATACAATATTAGAAAGTTAAATACGATCCACAGCTTTTATACATAACAATGCATGAAACTGCTTACCAAAGGCATTCCAAATAAGCCAAACTCCAGCATTCCTGTGATAGACCATTCCATCTGCTCCCAAGAAGCAGTGTTGTCTCCTAGCCAATGTGCAGCATGTCTTCCAGTTCCAGCAAAAGTTGACCGGGTGAGGATAAAGCTTCTCTTATTTGGAAAAACTTTCTCTATAGCTCTTAAAATAAAATTTAACAAATAGATCAGACACATTTTAATATAATAATAATGTTTGTAAATTCTAAATTTTAATTTCAATTTAATGTAATTCTTAGAGTAAACCATCAATATTTTATGTGAGTTTTTATCTAGCTGCCAGGATGTTCTTAAGTACTTTCTCATCAAACTGAAATCTTTTAGGAACAGTTTTGACATCATTTATCAAATTAATGACTTTAAAATGGAAGTATTATTGCATCATAGAATTATATAGGTTTCAGGTATACATCATGAATTAATATATTCTAAATCAATATTTGTAAAGATATTACATTAATTTCATCACTAAAAGTTCAATTCTATTATTCACCATGAAATCGATCCCCTTACTCTATTTATCTACTCCCTTTTACCTTCCCTTTTGTAGCTGTTTATTGGTCTTGTAGTCCAAATCGAATCTTTAAGCAAACATGAGGTTTTTATACTTACATGGCATCGTTTTGGAAGTCTAAACTCATTGATATCCCATTATAATAAAAAATACATTACTCTGAACCTAAACACAATTTTTTAATCACTTACATTATTCCTATCTTAGTTTGCATTTTCAGATATTAGCAAGTAATATTGGGATCAATCTACATATTTGAACCATTTTATTTCATCTGTTTCTAGAAGATCATCAGCTGCAATTGTTTATGTTATTTCTATTGATTTCTGAATATTATTGACAATTTTCTCTATAAATGAGAAATAAATGAGAAGACACAAAAGTTT